CACCGACCGACCGGCCGAGCGCGACGCGCCGCGGCCGACCCGCCCCAGGCGGCGGAGACGGCCCTGGTCCTGCCGGGCCTCTGACGAGCAGAGCCGTCCCGTCCCCAGACGCTACGGACGGCACTGGTCCTGCCGGGCCTCTGCCGAGCCGAGCCGTCCCGTCCCCAGACGCTACAGACGGCACTGGTCCAGCCGGGCCTCTGCCGAGCCGAGCTGGCCCGTCCCCAAGGGGCAGAGACGGCCCTGGTCCAGTCGGGCCTGCGCCGAGCCGAGCCGAGCCGGCCCGTCCCCAGGCGGCAGAGACGGCCCTGGTCCTGCCGGGCCTCTGCCGAGCCGAGCCGGCCCGTCCCCAGGCGGCAGAGACGGCCCTGGTCCTGCCGGGCCTCTGCCGAGCCGAGCCGGCCCGTCCTCTGGCGGCAGAGACGGCCCTGGTCCATCCGGGCCTCTGCCGAGCCGAGCTGGCCCGTCCCCAAGGGGCAGAGACGGCCCTGGTCCAGCCAGGCCTGTGCCGAGCCGAGCTGGCCCGTCCCCAGGGGGCGGAGACGGCCCTGGTCCAGCCGGGCCTCTGACGAGCAGAGCCGTCCCGTCCCCAGACGCTACGGACGGCACTGGTCCTGCCGGGCCTCTGCCGAGCCGAGCCGTCCCGTCCCCAGACGCTACAGACGGCACTGGTCCAGCCGGGCCTCTGCCGAGCCGAGCCGTCCCGTCCCCAGACGCTACGGACGGCACTGGTCCTGCCGGGCCTCTGCCGAGCCGAGCCGTCCCGCCGGACGACGGCTGGCCGCGGCCGCCCAGTCCGGCTCAGCCGTCCCGCACCGGCCGACTTCGCCGCCACGACCGTGTGTGTACAGACTCCTGCACCAGCTGTCCCTGCACCGACACCTGCGCCGGCAGGCGGTGTTTATGCGACAGGCGGCGCGTTTCGTGCCGCCGCCTGCAGCGCCGCCGCCCGGCAATCACCCCGCGGATGAGCCGCTTTCGCAATCGGCCGACAAACACCAGGTTGGCACACGGCCGCGATCGCGTCGCGCGACGGCGATCGACGCGCGGGTCAGGTCGGCGTGACGTGGCGCGTCGCGGGGCCGGCCGGCACGCCAGCGTCGCTGCGCAGTACGCGGGAGCAACGGCCTGCAGCTGGCGCCGGCCCCGACCGGACTTCACCGCAACGGGTCGCTCTGGGCGGCTACGGCAATGGCGCGCGCACGCCGTCACCCGGGCCACGCGAGCCGCTAACGGGACAATGTGTGCCGGCCGAGCACGCGCTAGCGACGGGAGACGCAACCGGTTTGGCGCCAACGCGCCCACGCGGCGACGCAGCGGGCGTGCTCGGCCATTGTCGCCGGCGTCGCCGCGTCACCATCAGCGTGCAGTCCATTACAACGTGATGGCGTCGGTGGCTCAGCCCAGGTGTGCCTGAGCCGGTCGGGGCGGGCGAGGTGGGCCTCACACGACACACACCGCCGGCCGGTCGGCGCCGGCCCCTGACCCGACGACCCGCCGCGTGAAGGGCCCGCCGTCCATCAGCGACTGCGACAGCGTCAGTTCACGACGGCTGTACGCCGTCGCCCCGCCACCCTCGTCCTCGATCTACATCCACGCTCTCGCAGAACCTGAGGCTAGGACTGGACTGGACTGGACTGGACTGGAGCTGGCGTTGGACCCGCGCGTTGGTGTGGGCCGTGCACCCGGCTCCTCTCGGTGCGCCATCTACCGTGAAGCGTCAACCTCCGGTCCGGCAGGGCGCCGACAGCCCGACCTCGGGCGGCCGGCAGCCAGCCCAGCTGCCGCCGGGCGGCCAGCGCTGTCGCCGCCGCGCCGCTCCGACCGCGGCCGGCTGGCAGCGGGCCCTCGGCGGCACGGCCCGCCGCATGCGGCGGGCCACGGGGTCAGCACGCGCGCCACCGCTGACACGGGCCGCCGCGATAAGCCGGCTGGCAGCGGTGCGCGCCCGAATGTGGGCCGCGGGCGCGGGCGCCGCCGCTGCAGCAGCGGCGGCAGCGGCGCGGCTCCGCGGGCGGATGGAGCCGAGCCGGCGGGCATGCCGCGATGAGCCCGGCCGGTCCCAGCCGCCCGCCGGCCGTGTCACTGAACTGGGGGCCAGCCTGTCATTAGCCGGTCAGGCAGCGTCTGCCGCTCACGGCCGCAAACCGCACGGCCGGTGGGCGCGAGGCCGCATGGGCACACATGACCTCGCGAACCGGTGCATGACCTCACACACCGACGCCCAGAGAGGAGATGTACGGGGCACGCGCGTGTCTGGCACCGGGCAGCGTGATTTCCGATCGTGGAGTCGTGCGCCGCCTGCTACTCTGTGTCCATGACCGCGCAGGGACAGCAGACACTGGCCTCCGAGACGGACCGAGAGACCGGACGGCTACTGAGTCCGGACATGCGTCAGCCCGTTTGAGCTTTCCAGTGTGCCGAGTGACATCGACAGTCAGTCACGAAACACAGCTGGCGGCCCGGAGATGACGTCACTCAGTTACACCCGCCCAACGCTCTGCCAATCTCAAGCGAAACACAGGGCTCTGGCCTACGTGCCTGTTCGAAGCCTCTCCACGCGCGGTGATTTTGGGAGGCCGTCCGCCCTGACCTCAGTCACGTCAGGGCGCATGAGCTCGCGGGCAGCACAATTATCAGACATTCATAGCCACCAATTATCTGCCAGTTTGTTCACCCGAGAGTCGGGTGAGAGCCGCCGCCGTGTCACTCCCACGTGGGCGGGAGTGGGTGTAAACCACTCTGTTGTTGTGAGTGCCTTCTATACGGCTTGGTTGAAGCTGTGGGAATTCCGGATGCTCTAGCGTTGGTACTATTGAGTAAAGGTTCAAAAATTAGTCAATGAAATTCTTCAAGCCTGGTCATATCCTCCTCTCACTAATGCCAGTGCCGTGCCCGTGACCAAGCATGGCTCCGGTAGCGCTACTGAGCTGTATTGGCTGGTGTTGTGGTGGCAGTCATACCGGCTGCGGTAGACGTCCGTAGTTTCCGACATTGTTTCAAAAATAGAAAACACCTGTCTCATAGATATGTGGGTCATTCTGCACTAAAGATATGACGAAAGTCATTGGCGACCTCCGAAATACAGCACAAACTAGATTTTTGCGATCCGGATGCCTTCAAACTAGCGTTAGTAGTGATACTGAAAGTGAGGGAGCCCGGGCAGTGGGGTAAATAGAAGTCGGAACGCTGACATGTGTTTCTGAAGATGAATGTTTTCAGCCTCGGTCAGCTGAGCGTCTCTTGTGACTCCGCGTCTCCTGACGTGGGAGCGGAACTTCCTAAGAAGCGCTCTGGGGAGGGTAAGGGGGACGAAACTCGTATTAGATGGGCAGAAAGCTCTAGGATTTCTCCTATCGATTTTCCAACGCTTTTGGCATCGGGGTTTAGGTACGTGTCACGGGGGAGGCTCAATATTGAGACGGCACAGGCCTCTGACACGTGAGGTTCCATTCATGCCCGCCTGCGTATGCTAAAGGAAGGAAGGACCGAAGAACGCGGCCAGCTGGCGATACGTTTGTTAATGCTGAACCGGGCACAGAACAGCGCCCCTGGAGTCCGCACACGCGGCGGACAGCACTACGCTCGTGAAAACTGGCACCCGGGCAGCGGCCTCTGTCGCTGGTGTCTGCAGGGTCAAAGTGAGGTCCAGTCTCCTAAGATCCGTAGCCCATCGTTGTCATACTCTCAAAATGTGTCAAGGCCTTACTGCACAGGATTGCAGCAAGGCCTAAGGCCTGAATATGACATTCGGTGTGGGACAAAAACACGATACCGGACGCAGGGCTCGTGGAAGGTTCATTCCTGACGTCAACGGCGGCATATGTTTAGCAACACACCGATCCGCCCATTGTGAGACGCACAAGCAGCCAGACAGTAATGCGGAGCAGACGTGAACCTAGGCACAATGGAGAAATGGTACTCTTTCGTTTGGCAATCGCCAAGGTCAGCTGTTTGTTTTTCACGTGGTTCTAGGAAAACGTCTCACGCTGCAGGCGTTGCCACAAACATTCGTCAGCTAGTGTGGTATCCATTATGGGCTAGGGTCTGGTGGTCGAAAGGGAAGCAATGCAAAGGGCATCCCTCGAAGCAACTATCAACTGGCAAAAAATTGCAGATACGTAGTTTTTCCGGCCCGCCGTCAAGGTTATTCAGTGCCCACAACAGCAACGCTCCACTTCTCGTTGCAAGAACAACAGCCCGCCGTTATCAGACCCATCCCGCCGTGCCGCCGAGCCTTCGCGACTCGCCAGCGGGAGCACGTGCGTGCCGAGGCGGCGGAGGGCGGGGCGCATGCGTTGCCGGTCGGGCCCGGCCGAAAACAAAGAGGCGGGCCCGGTCGGCCGGCCGACCGCCTCCAGTCAGCTGACTGGCCATGTGGTGCCGATCAATAGCGGCGGCGGAGGCGGCCGCTCCGTCAACAAAGGAGCGCGGCGTCAGGCCGACGGAGCCGCCGCCGCGGTCCGCCGTCACCTGGACGGGGGGGGGGGGGAGGCGCAGACGAGATCGACCAGGCGCACCGCCGGCCCCCGCAGCAGCCGTCACAGCCGCCGGACACTCACACCACCGACTCGTCAACAGCAGCCGTCACAGCCGCCGGACACTCACACCACCGACTCGTCAACAGCAGCCGTCACAACCGCCGGACGCTGTTACACCACTGACCCGTCAACAGGAGCCGTCACAACCGCCGGACGCTGTCACACCATCGACCTGTCAACAGCAGCCGTCACAACTGCCGGACACTGTCACACCACCGGCCCGTCAACAACGGCCGTCACAACCGCCGGACAGTGTCACACCACCGACCCGTCAACAGTAGCTGTCACAACCGCCAGATGCTGTCACACCACCGACCCATCAACAGCAGCTGTCACAACTGCCAGACACTATCATACCATTGGGCTGTTCACAGCAGTCTGGTTTTGTTACTATCTGTACTGTTGTCAGTGTCACAAACATCTGGGGTCTGGTCTCAAAGCATGATGCATGCCACTCACCTATTTTTCTCCAGCTCATTGTGGGTTGACCTGAAAAGAAGAACAAGTTAGACACTGACCCAGTTCATGCATTTGTAGGCTGCATTCAGACTGCAGAACATTTCAAACATGGTTCCCAAAGCAATCACCTGTCAAAATTTGTGTATTTGCCATTGCTGATAGCCTCTGGTCATGTTGATGCAACATATGTGCCATTTACATCCCTGACATGCTAAGGACATTTCATGTGAATGACTGTGGTGACATTAGGCATAAGGCACTCTTTAATCAGGTTGTGACATAAATGTTGGCTCAGCAGCAAGATAAAGCACCACTTTTTAATGTTACTTCTCTTTGTCATGAAAAACCACACAAAAGAAACTTTGGAACATGTCTTACTACAAGAAGTTTCATTTTAACAGCACAATGTGGGCAATAACCACCCATGATTGAGTCACATCAGTTTGGTGCTAACTGGGACATGGGATGCAGGCTGACCTTAAGAGAGATCAGGACACCAACTCTGACATATCAATATGAAGCCCTGCCTAAGTTTCTTTTCATTTTTTCTTGGAAACAAACTAGACATAATAAAATTGGGAGCCCAAATTGTGAAAGTTAGTCTCCTTGTGACATGGAGATGTTCCCTGCCATGATCTGGTGTTTGAAAAAAAAAACACCAGAGCTTCATATGACTTGTTGGTTGCCTAAATGATGCCATTTTGAACCCATCTATGGTAAATGTCAATACAAAATGTCCTGGTCATATTTTGAGCTGTTGCTAGCAAATTATAATTAAAAGACAGAAAATGTCTGCATACTCTGAAGATGTGATTAACAAGTTAGAATGGCAACCTAATCTAAATCCTCCTCAAGAAAAAGCTGGCTAAACAAAAAATACTTGCAATGCTATCTTAGGAGTTATACTTCACCTGCTGCCTAGACCCCTCCGAGTTTTGAGATGTCTCTTGTTCAACAGCCTAGATGTGTCGATCTGAAGAGGCACAGTAGATGCATATCCATGTTCCGCTTCTGGAAGAATAAAGCAATCTTAAAGACAGGCCATGACAGGCATTCTGGCACTCAACTAAAATGGCAACACAATGGTATAAGGGGGAGGGGAACAAGGAATTTGTCCTGGTGTACATATTTTTTGTTGAGGCTTCAACCTGATAATGCATCGACCAAAGGAAACACATTTCACTTCATTGGTTTCACATTCTCATTAACTTCCTCCAGTGATTCATGGGACTTTATTCAAATTTAATCCTGCTATAACTTAATAACTTAACATTCCTATTAGGAATAGTAGTAAATGTGTTCCTTGAATTATGGGCCTATAAAACAAATTATTATATGTGTCATCATGTCTTGTTTTAGGGAAAAAAGGACAGGTAATTACATGTATCTTAAACTAGTGCTAAACAAAGCAACCTGCAAAAAATGAATAGGCAGCATATAGCCCTGACATGTCAGGTTTTGGTAATGCTGATTTAGTGTTTAGACATGAAAAGTTAGACTACAAGTCAATATCTCCAAATCTTTGAGGTTACTTCAATGTCTGTAAAATAGCATGCCAATACTGACATTCTCATAAATGATGCAGCTATCATAAAAATTGTCGCTTATACCACACATCACGCATCACAAAACTTATACCAGCCATCAGCACCAGTAAGCATTATTACTGGGCTTGCTGTATCATATAGGGTGATTTTGACCAAAGGAGTGATGAGGATTTCTTCTAGAATTATAAATTTAAGTTATCAGACCTTTTCAACAGCAAGGAGCTAGGCAAAGGCAGTGTTTGCCTGTCATCAATGACCTCATGAAAAAATGCTGTACCATGCACTGCATGACAAAACCCAGGAAACAACTTAAGATCAACCTTCCATAATAGGACCATAAAATGATATAACACAGGATGAAGCATACTCCACCACAGTCCAGCAATGCACTGTGTTGGCCTTCCTACAAAGGCTATGACAAATATGCACTGAATAGGAAGCATTGTTATTGGGCATGTCTCAGGGCCAGGATACATCCCATAACCACCACAGAACTTCCATGCATGCACCATATGAATTTCAAACTGATTTGATTGGCCATGCAGCATAAGGTCTGGGGTTGGTACATACATAAGTCAATCGTTGACACTTTGAGACAAAAATGACTTCAGACAAAGGACGAAATACCAACCTCTTTCTCTTCGCTCAAGGTACTCCGCAGCTTCAATGAGAGCCTCAATTGACATATTTGTTATTCTTCTACCAATAACAACAAGTTTCGCCTACTACAACGGACGAAATAACAAACGGCGGACCAGATCCACGCCCCCTCCACCCAGCTGCAAACCAAGCCAGAGATCAACAATGCACAGAAGGCGTTCAAGGTCTCACAGCCAAATGTACGGAGGAGGGCTACCAGATCCATTTGGGGAAAGTCACCAAATACATTCTAGACAACCACCAAATACTTTTCCCAATTCCTGGAGTTAGCTGCCAGCTGTACTTTAAAAAAGAAGACCAAAGTGCTTGGCATTTAATGGGTCCATAGTCCATCTGTAATCTATATTCCCCATATATTCTTCACAGAGCTTTGAGTATTTTTCTTTGTTATTTATAATGGCTCAACACCACAATCAGCAAATTGCATCCAGTTCTATGGAACTCTCGTCAGGCTGGTTGGATCGAGAATCCCGCAGGGATCAATACTTATGGGATCCTGTGATCGGATAATGAGATCAGATCCTGGGATCGAATCCTGGGATCGGTTTCTGGGGCTGCTTTGAGCTCCAGGCTCACGTCCGATCGTGGTGCGCCGAAAATATTGTGAAAAACTTGTGTTCGATAGAGCATTGAACACCGTAACAGGCAATGACAAGTTAAATATCAAAGCATTAGGACAACAAAAACGGATCCGGGTTTCGAACTCATGTATTGCATTGTTTCGCATGGATCTATCATTCAACATGTGGAATTCAAGAACACGTCTGATATTGCGGTGGTGGGAGTAGGTGGTCATGTCCGGAATCTTGCATCTTGGAGGTAATCGTCTAGATTAAATTTATTATGGTCAGATATGAGCCTGAATCCAAGGGGTGGATTCAGGATTTCATGTTTATGGGATCCTAGTGCGGGATTCTGTCATGTTCAGGGGTTCCAGGCACATGTCTGATCATGGTGTGTCGAGAAATAAATATGCAAAACCTGTATTCGATAAAACATGGAATGCCATGTGGTATCATTTTATATCCTGCAGTGTTGAAAATATATATTATACTGAAAGTCTCAGTTTACCTACGATTCATAGCCATAACCTTTGTCTATCAAAGTAAAAAATATGTGAGCATATGATACGGCAGGCATATGCACATTATTCCAATGATCCTGAATCGGTCGCGGCCCATAATTTTGAGGCATGGACTCAAGCGAAGTACGGCGACTGTAATTCGATACCCCAGGCAAACAATGCCCGGCAAGTTTCAGCCAGACCTTGATATGTATATATATATATATATATATATATATATATATATATATATATATCTATCTATCTATCTATCTATATCTATATCTATATCTATATCTATATATATATATATATATGCTTGATGATACATGCTATATATATATATATATATATATATATATATATATATATATCGGTGATGCCGTTGTCAGACTACAGTCCAGACTTCGACTGTGGATGTTTGAATGATGGGGGTGACCGATCTGCCCGCAGCAATGATTCCATTGCTTGCCATTAGGTTAGGTTCCCATTGTCATTTTACTGACATTTGGTTACCATAATAGTATTGTTCGTTGAACCATAGCCAGCTTCGGTGGTTTTACTGCCTTAGACAGCGTATATATATATATATATATATATATATATATATATATATATATATATAGCTCATAGTCGATAGACGCTTTGCGTGTTGACGTCTCCAGAGGCAGATGCAAAACTTCGCCAAGGCGGGATCATCTTGAATTCGGTGTCCCTACGAGACAGGGCTCACTACAAGTAATGATATGTTATAGTTTGCTTGATTTACGATACAGAACCATAAGTGTTAGAGAATAAAAGTTTTCTACCGTTCGGCGTATTGTAACGGAGGCATGCATCCGCCGTTATTTTGACATATTTGTTTCTCATTGAATACGAGCGACATTTGAAGAGGTTCGCATAGCATTTGACGAATCCAACCTATGGTGCCGTATACCAAAATGGGGAACGGACATGTTCATGAGAAACGCCTTTGGTAGATCCAAATACATCAATAGAATAGAGACAGATAAGGAATGACAGAGGTTTCAACAGGATGCAGTGATATCAAACCGACTTTATCACAAACGGACACAATTTCTGGTCCCTACCGGCGTGGGGTAAGCCCGGGAAGTATGTCGCCGGAGCTCCACCGTTGTGCGTATGATATTCAGAGTGCTCTTCCTTTTTCAAATGTTTGTTAGGACTTTTGATGATTTCATTTCGTGGTTTTTGTACACGGTTGGTACAATAGCTGTTCGTCGCGCGAGCATGGTAATTTCGGGTCTTAAACGGTACTTTAACAACGAAAAGGGCGCGTTTATCATCGAATTAATGACGCTGTTTCGGCGGCTTGGTACGTTGTCTGGCTGTTTATGATGATTGATAATAATGGAAGGCGTTGTCTGGCAGCACCTCTGGTGTCTGGTAATGCTCGCTATACTTAATAACTTCTTGCACTGCTTGCAATGTACCGTTATCAATCGCAGCTCACTGGTGCCAAGTAAGACGCAACGAGCTAGATGCGCTATATCATACACAAAAGATGTCAAGCATCAACGGAGAAAATCCTGATCGGGTGTAATGGGCTGAAGATTGCTGAATTATTCAATAATTCAGGAGCAATCAAGAGGAGAATGATCATGAGTTGGATCGAGCAATTCGAACATGAAATGCGGTCGTGAAAACGATCTCAAAAGATTCAAAATAGATCGTACAGTGCACAAAAACAGATCGATTGTCTGCATGTACAACATACGTAGCATGCAGACCGGGAGGCATTAAATCAGATATTAAATAAATGCGGTCCGTTGGTTGCAAAACATTGGAAAGTGGTTCACGCAAATGTAAAAAATATGATTCAGTCACAAATCGCATTTAGATATGGAATGTGGTTATAGCGCAATCGAATCACGGAGCCTCTCAAGCCAGTGGTATTGCACAGCAGTAATGCTGTTCATCTGCTATCGCTGCATGCAGTGCACTTCGTTCAGGGTTCGACAGTTGAATCATAAAAAGTGATGGGTGTTGCGCGCTAGAACTGCTGTTGTCATTTGTTCGGTTGCAAAAAGATGATGTAATAAGCATTCCGTTGCCATACTTCGTGAGGTGTGGAGAGTTTTAAGGTCTCATTGTGAATCTCTTCTTTTTTGCAAGACCTAAACATGCGATGCCAAAGGTCATGCCGATGCCAAATCAACACCAAACACCCGAGCCAATGCAATGAACGACACCAGAGGCCTAAGGTGTGCCTTGTCGCTCGTAACGAGTCCTCCCCGGGGAGATGTCCAAAGGGCCGCTGTTTTTACCGAGTCTGAGCTCATTTTCAACTCAAATTAGTAAAATCAAATCAGCCGCACGATAATAACAGCACCCACTCTGAGCACCATCAGGAGCGTAATCACATGAATCCTCCGCCATCAGATCCATTGGTGATAATGCTCCACCGGCAGGCATTCTCTCAATCTTGGTTTAGTTTATTTACCACGCAATTCCACACATTCTCTGTAGGACTGTATATAAAGTCCTGGGCGCATTCTGAGTCACGGCCTTTTTTGAGTGGTAGAAACTTTAACAAGGTCCGACTTTGTTGTCTAGGCCACCCTATTATGGCGCCGACATGAAGAACAGCAGACAAAATGCGGCGAAATGGCTGCGATATGTGACGGGGCTGCAGCGGGGCTGGGCAAAGTGCAACAGCTGTGGGTGCGGAATGTTGGTTCCGTGAGCGGGGCCTTTGTATCAGTGCGAGGACATTCTCTATTACTAAGTGCGTTAAAATAGCGCGTTATAATGAAATAAAACTTATAACACAACAACCACAGTTTCTGGCGCTTGGGGAACGGACGGACGGTACATGTACTGTCGCCACCGCTGCCGCTGTCAGATGTGCAGGGATTTCTTGTCCATAACATGGTTCCTTATTGGTCCGAAAGCTTCCCAGCGGACTTACAACCACTGTGTCTTACGATCTCTGCCGACGCACGTGTTTTCACCTGGCTTCCCGAAAAAGCTTTCACGGAGATTCGGGGATCAATGGAAACGGTGCTGCCCTCATCTTTACTGATACTTTACATGCCATTCAGTGGCTGGCCCCATTCCCAGCCGGTGGTTTGGCCTCACTTGACTGCAACATGACACGGCCGTTTTAGTCAAGATATGCTGAGCAGTACCGTGACTCGCTGCAGCGTGTCGGCGCCGCTCCTAATCATGTATGTACGTATCATGCTGTCACAGTTCCTCTTCCGCTCCTCTCCTTAATAATCAGTTTCAGACCGGCGGATGTAGTCGTCACCAGCAAGGCCTCAAGTTCCCTCATCAAACAAGCCGACCAGCAGTTCCAGCGGTGACGAGATCGCCGGGGATGCTGGGGTGGAGCACTTCCGTCATGCACTGGATGCTATCATGCTGCTCCCTGTCCTGCCGACCCAAGGGAAGCTGGCACCGGATTCCCTCTGTCACGTGACAGCTGTCCCTGAGCCTCGGCCGCTTCACGTTGGACCGCGTGTCAGGAACGTCGTGTGGCCAACAGAGTATGTCGAGCTGGTGCTGAGAATGCCTGGCCCGGGTTCCGGCACGGGTTCTTCCCTCCCTGCCCGCATACATTCGCCACTATTTACGATTGCTGCAGTGTGAAGCTGTGCGATAAATCATCATACGCTATGCTTTGAAATTGGCGGAAGTAAATGCATGTAATTTATAATAGTTTTGGCCACAACTATTTCATTGGAATAAGGTGACGATAATTACTTATCCGTGTACACATCGCTTGAGCTGTGCAACGATTGTTAACAAAACAGAGGGAAGTTTGGTCCTGATTGAGCAGAGGGTTTCGCAAGTACGGGCTTTCCAGCACGGCGGGAGGCAAAAAACTATTGCAATTCCCACACAAGTCAAAGCATTAGTCTCGCGGCCCATCATCGGCTCGTGTAATTAGTAGGCGCTTTCGTTCGGCAGAAATTTGGAAGCTCTCTAGCGAGATCCTGGCAATTTAAAGAGCTTCTGGTTACATCTCTCCAGAACCTGCCTTGTGCTGGAGAAATATAAACACTGCGAGGAATATCATCCTGTTTCGAGGTTCTTCTGTAGACATGGCCTTCTCCCCGTCCTTGTGCTCTCCTTGAGATTGCGTGCATGCCATTGGTAATGAAGCCGTCATGCATGAATGCGTTTTACTCTGGCTTGAGCCAACTGGTGGTTGGGAGCTCCTACGTACGTTAGGGACGTCAAACCCGGTGTTTTTATCAACACCGGGATTGCAATAAAATCGTTTTGCCATACATTTTAATGACTTGTCTGCATCAAAGCCACACTTGTTTCCAATAAGACGAGCTAGCCATTAAGTCAGTCCAAACCGTCTAAAGTCATACCGGAAACCCTAAGTCCTCGTATAGCTACCGCGTGATGTACGGTGTCATGCCATCAGGAACGCTAAACAATCCGGTAATTTTAAGAACAACATTTGAAATAGGAGGTCCTTGAAGTTGTTTGTACGTGCCGTTTTGCCCATGAGTGCACTATTGGATAACTAACATCTCATATTCCCATCTGACCAGCAGTTATATTATGGCGTCCTGTCCAGCTCTGCCAGCCCGTGTTGGCACTGCCAAGCGCCTACTTCCGGCGTTCGAGTTCGGACTCATGAGCACCTATTCAACGCGTACCACCACTTGTGCACGTTACACGCAGAGCAACTTAAATTTGTGTCGTGCATATCGCCTTGGTATGTGCTATGAGCTTAGCAAAGGTAGTGCCTTGTTCGCCAGAAGTTCAGGGCTCACTAAGCCGTTCTAGGTCTCGATCACTATTTTCAAATAATAGTTTCCATATGATTAAGGTTACGTGCAAGGGTGTGACGTTCTAAAATCGCTCGCGGGGCTGGGCCAACAGTTAGCCTAACTTGCCCCAAAAATCTGACCTCCCCGGATTTCAACTGTTTCGATTTGCGTCCCCGATGAATCGGCTGACTGTTCTTCATATACATGTGATGGATAATTGCATAGCTGTTTCAATGTTGGGAACACCGGATCAGAAATTCCCCCCCCCCCCCCCCAGGTCGGGATTGATTGCAGAACGGAATCCGGAGACTGCGAACTGTTATTCCGAACGGACCTTCCTAGGTGCATCTCTAATGTGCACCAAATGCGGGAGACGATAGATAAAGATCGCACGCGGCTTACCCACGATATTGTATATATATATATATATATATATATATATATATATATATATGTGTGTGTGTGTGTGTGTGTGTGTGTGTGTGTGTGTGTGTGTGTGTGTATGTGTGTGTATGTGTGTGTGTGTGTGTGTGTGTGTGTGTGTGTGTGTGTGTGTGTGTGTGTGTGTGTGTGTGTGTTTGTGTGTGTGTGTGTGTGTGTTTGTGTGTGTGTTTGCGTGTGTATGCCTTTAGGTGTTGTAAAACGAGTGCTAGAAAAATCACAAAAACCAGATATATTTTATTTGTGTCGCAGCATCAGACAGCTGTAACACAAAGAACAGGCGAACATTCAGGTGCGCACACATGACATAACAACAGCTGGTGTTTGCTGAGAGCACCAGGGCGCTTCTGCCGAATTCGTGTCTGGGGCTTGGATCATCCGCCGTTCAGAAAATCGACGAGTTGTGATTGTCCCAGTTCAGTATCTGTCGTGCTTATCCATGATCTGCCTTGCGGTATATAGCAACAGACAAACGCGTGTCTGCTATATGATGATAAACCACCAATATGCCTGTGAAGGAGCCAGCTAACCCTGCACTTTAAATCGTATAATAATTTCGGCTAAGGATCGCACCAATTCTGTCTGCCGTTGCAGTGCTTTACTGTCTCGTACGGATCCCACTTAGGTACTTGCTCGTCCTCGGACATTTTGCCAGCGATACAGCAATAAGCATCACACATGCTATGGTTCGCGATTGCGCGATACCATGCTGATACATTGTCCAGTTAGCAAATTATATTGTAATGGTGTGTTGCAGTGTCCAGACATGTCGGCGCGGTGGCTGCACAAGCTCGAGCTGGGTCCAAACTGATGTCACAATCCGGAGAACTGATGCTTCGTCCAGCGGCCAGCGTTTGTCATGGACCGGGCGGCTGACGCGTTGGGGAGCTACTATCTCGGTGAATACGGCCGCACTCTTTTACAGAATACGTGGGCTGGTGTCTTGCATCAGCATGTTTCCTTATAGTCGGAGACGTTACCGCACACGGACCGGTGTCTGCTTCACACATGGCGCTGCTGTGTCGAAAGGACGCAATGTTGCCCGCCGGCGAAGCGGCGTGAGGCCCAGGCGGTGCTTTCGCTGGAGGCGTGTTGTCTCTCAGGGAGGAGATAGACGCTGCACTAGTGTCACGCTCAGACACGGGAGTCACAGAGTCTAAGGCTGAGTGATCCGGCTTGACGGTGTGCGAGTCCTCTTTCCTCCGTGCGTCCTCATGATTTGACGATGTCGTTGACCTGACGGTGTCGTTGACCTGACGGTGTCGTTGACCTGACGGTGTCGTTGACCGGACGGTGCCGTTGACCTGGCGTCCAGGCGGCTCAAACTTCCTGCTCCGGGTAGTAGCCATCGGGCGCGGCGGCGTTGAACACGGCCATGATGAGCACCAGCAGCAGGAAGGTGACGAGCGAGATCCACCAGAGCACGCGCTCCCAGCGCAGCAGGCGCAGGTTGCGCAGCGCCACGTGGCCGATAAGCAGGCCGGCGACGGCGCCAGCCAGGTGCGCCGTATACGCCACCTTCTGGTCGGGACCGGTGGCGTACCGGTTGTAGATGGCGACGCCGATGTCGGTGGAGGCGAGCAACAGCAGGAGGCCGAGTCGCACCAGCGCCAGCTCCATCTGAGCCCAGTTCAGCACGAGGTCGGCCAGGTGGGCGGCCAGCAGAGCGTACACACCTCCAGACGCGCCGGCCAGGTAGACGCGCGGGTCCAGCACGGACGTGGCCAGCGAGCCGAGCAGCACGCCGCACAGGTACACCACGCCCACGCGCCACCACTTGTGTACCAGCTCGAGCGGCAGGCCGACCAGCAGCTGCACCACCATGTTGGTGGTCAGGTGCACCCAGCCGACGTGCACCAGCATGTAGGAGAGCAGACGCCAGACCTCGCGGCGGCGGTACGGGCTGTAGATGAGCGGCGAGTGCGGGTCCACCGGACCGCTGCTGGTGATGGAGCCCAGACGCACACCGTCGTACACAAACACCGCCAGCTGCACGACGGTGAGCAGCGGCAAGAGCAGCGGCGGCGGCCGGCAGTTGTATTGCTGCAGGTAGCTGGGCGGCCGCTGCGCGCGCGGCACCACGCTGCACGCGGCGGCGTTCAGCAGGCCGCGCTCGCCGGCGGCCGGCTCCGACCGGTGGTCGCCGCCCATCTCGACGCCGCCCTGCACCATCGGCCTGCGTCCGTGGCGGCAGCGGTCGCTGCCGACTCGGACGTGGAGGCGACGGCGGCTGCGGCGCACCCGCGCAAGCAGCGGCCCGGCTGGCTCCCGTCGTCGGGCGGAGCGCGCAGACCGCAGGTCCGTGGCGGTCCGGCACGACTCGGTCAGTGGAGCGTGGCTGGACGGACGCTCGCCGCGAGAGCGGTGCGTGGCCGGACTCACAGGAGGGCGGCCTGCAGTCCTCGTCTGGTCTCACACGAAGACGCAGGCAGTCCAGGCGCGCCAGACACTGACGGACCTCGCGACAGCGCGGCCCCGGACCGGTGAATACTGGCGCTGTCGCGGCCGGGTTACCAAGGTGACGTGCGACGCTGAATTCCTGCCGCGCTCAATGGATCGATGGTCTGGTCGCTGGACCATGTCGCGCACCTGCCTCGGCGTAGTGCAGCCACTGGTGGATCGTGCCAGTCGTAACTATATGAGCTCTTCGACTGCGCACGCGACGCAGACTCGTGCGGACCTCCTCCACACGAAACGAGTCCAGTGTTGGGCAGGGGCAGCAGACACTGAGTTTAAAAGGGATGCTGCCTCATTTCTGGGCAAATGGCACCGTCTTGCTGCGTCGCACGGAAAAAATGCATCAAGTCAACTCTATCGAAACTAACCCTACCGGCCACCTGTGTATGAAAGGCAAGTAAACTTGCTGACCCTGCGATGAATAAACCATAAGCAAATGCTACCAAGCGAGCCGTTTGGCCACAGGCCGAACAGACTTATTGGTCACCAGTAAATGGTACCAACTGATGTGCCAATGCAACGTTCGAACGTTCACCAATCGGCTGCCCTGAACAGTGCCAGTTGGTTTCAACTGGTCTGTCCAAGTGGAGCAGGTTTGTCCCATTCAAAATGAGACCCACTAGCGCATACCTTCCGAATTTGAAACAATTTTTTCCAGCTAATTTATTTGTATTTGAATAGTAACACGCCACCGAAGACAATCACAGGGCGCCTATCCGTGCCAAAGCATGTACGAGCTTACACAGGATTTCCCATGGGGGAGGGGTGCACAACTGACATTGAAACTAACATCTGAAACTCTGAAAACTGGCTTTTGCGCGCTGCCCGGCCGCTCCAATGCGCCATCGCGCACACTGGAGGACACGTGTTCGTGTGGTGCTCGGTAACGTCCGATAGTCGCCAACGTTTTCTTGGAACTCGTCAACGGCGCCTGTTTGACAAAGCTTGTCACCAATCCCCGTGAGCAATACCTTAGGTATGTTTGGCGGCTGTTTCTATGGAGCGTGGATAACAGAAAGAACGATCAGGTATTATGTATAAAAGATAGGTTAGCTTTCTTAAAAGGGTAATTTGCAGCATACAACCTACCGCTTAAATAATTGCTTCAGGTGATCACTCTTAAAACATGCCGCGACAAATTATCTCGTCAGGACTTAGCAAAATATCTTTGGAGGGTGTGGGAGGGAAGGTAAAATGTTTAATCGTCAAAAGGACTAAATGCATTTAAAATTAGTCTCGCTTTGTGTTGGCTTTTTCCTACGTAACGACAAATAAAGAGCCGTCCGAGCATTAATCTGCTTTGTTGAAGTCGAATGAGCTGACATAATCATAAATGTCCATCTTCTGCGTACGTAACTCACCACTTTACTGGGACTTTGGTGCGACACATTTTGGGCCATTAGGCTCGGAGCATGGGGTTGTCTGCAGCCAACTTTGTTGGTTTTGGCCATTTTTGGTAACTTTTAACTTGACCCAGGGTCACCGTGTTCTGAAAAGGATTGGATGTCGGCTAGGCGCATCGATTGGGGACGGTTTTATGATGACATGTGCGATAGGCTCGGAGCATCGGGTTGTCTGCAACCGTGTTTCCCCCCTTTTTTTGTATATGTGGTGGTCTTTGCCCTCACCCAAGGTCACCATATTCTGGAGATGATAGGTTATCAACTTAGCGGCATTGAATGAAGAAGATTTCATGTCGAAAGGTGCAATAGGCTCAGAGCACGGGGCTGCCAATGAGTTTGGTCGGCCGTTTAGCCCCTTCCTTTCTACCTTCTTCCGAGCATGTTGTGTCGGAATTAATGTAGATAGAAATGAAGCGTATAATCGGTTAAACGTTCATTCCCACAAAAACAATGCGACAAAGAGACTGTGCGCCAAACAACATACGCAGTCGTTGCGCCCTAAAACCCCAATAAACAACAGAACAGCACAGGCTTAGCAATACATTGAAACATTATGCAGTAGTTTAGTACATTTCCTGATGCCACTTATGTTTGCGGCGCTTGTAGCGCGTAGTTTAAAAGTCCATAGACGTCTGACGAGCGGAATGCGGCGAGCATTTAAAGGCCAGCCGCGGATTGATGCAATTTAAAAAGGTCATTTTCAGTCCTAGGATGCTTCGTTTAAGCTAGTTCGTGCAATAGGCTGTACTTTACTTGCTAAGGTATTTCTGTTTGATGTGTTGGGATGCCCAAGCTCTGTGAATTGTCTGACTTACACTCATTGCACTCAGCATTCCTGTGCATCTGTGCCTTTGTACACCAGGTATATGATTCAAGCAGTATATCTTAGTCTGGACCATTTTGACACATAAATGGACTTGTGGAAGCTGATTGAGCTCACTGTGCAATGTTGTCAAATTGAAGCTCATGTTTTGGTTGATATAAGCTTTCATTGATTGATTAACAGGAATGGACATGATTTTGCATTTGTTTTCTGTTCTTAATTGACGACCTCTCCTTCTCTTACTTGTGATTTTGATATGCCTGTGCTCATTACAGCAATTTTAAACATAAATTTTGGAGTGACCAAGCCTTTTCAAACACCAAATAACAAAAAGTATTTGAGTGTGAAGTAGTGTACATTGGCACACCCTGAACCCCAGTCATTGTCAGAACATGTAAGTATTGGGACTTAGAATATTATCTCAACTCATTAAGATTCCTTGCATTCTTTGTGCCATAATTTTCCAAGCTTCGGAGGTGGTGCAGGTTTGGTGGAAATTGAGCAATATGTGGTCATGCTTCCATTATGCTGTCACTTTGTCCTAAGGCATTATCAGGATCTGAAGCTTGGATATTTTCAAGGTCATGAGAACTTGTGCAATAAGTATGTGCAGCACAGCCTTATTTCATTCCAGGAGGTGATCCTTTATCAGTTAGTTGTGGTCACTACCACTAATTACCAACATCAGAATCCATGCACATATTGCTGAGTGTCTGTGTTGCTTCCATTTCTAAATACTGGGTTTAGGCTCATTGGAGGTTAAATTTTTCTATGTCTATGAGTATGTGTCCTTTATTTTGGTCTGAGAATGGCCTGCACATGTTTATAGAAATTCTGGAATGTGGATTGATGTCAGGTTCTCACCATTTGCTGCTCACCTTATTCACTGCTTGGTGAAGCATCATACCATATGCTTGTTTCAGCAAAATGTTCAAAGCTTGATGTTTGCTCTTATGCTGGTACAACTGTGCATTGTTGGGCATTGCAATTTAATTAAAAAGGCAATTAAAAGGTTGTCTTATGTGGCCTGTACCATCTCTAATCATGCACTATGCATTAACTTTGATTTGTATTGGTGAAAATGGCACAGGTCATTGAATGGTGTTTAAATTTACCTGAGTAGACAACATGTCAGGAAAACAGATGGGAAGAAGTACAAAGACATTATGCTGTGATTTGAAAAATGATGTTGGATGTGTGAGGTTGATTCTTTCATGCATAACATGTCTTCCACACAGATGTGATGCAAATAGTGAAGCTCATGTGGCTTGTTTAGTGCTGTGGTTATCTCCATCCTGCCTTTGATAAGTTTTTGTTTACTGAACAGTACCAGAGGTGTTCAGCTCTCATTCTGAAGCTCTGCTATCTGAATCAGAGCAGTGGGTATGTTCACTCTACACCCAACGTCTACTCCATGACCACTACTTGCTCCTGCCATGTCAGCAGTGCAGGCCGTCCCTCCGCCAGACATGAGCCAGCCGTTGGCCGACTCCGCGCCGGCCGGTGCCCCCTTCCGCCACCCGGACACGCCGAAACGCGCCGGCGGCGGCGACTCGTGGCGGCGGGCGGCGCCGGAGGTGGCCGGCGCGGCGGCGGCGCCCTCCTGGGACGGCCAGTCGCCGGCGCTGCGTGACGCATTGGCCCGTCACCGCGCCGCCGCCGCCGCCGCCACGCCCGACAACCCGTTCGAGTGTGACGACATGATGACGTCACTCTCGCTGCCCGCCTCCAGCCCGTCTCTGTTCCAGCATGTGCAGAGCCCCAACGACAAGGAGGTGCGTGCCAGTGATGGGGTCGCATGCCGAAATGATGACGGTGTACTGCACAGCGTCCAGCATGGGCATGTGGCGCGTGCAACACCGCAGTACATAGCACAGTGGTACCAGTAACTTGGTACCGGTACCGAGGCGGCAGTAGGACAGGTCAGCTGCAGGCGATCGTCATGTTTATCTTCCACCGGCCCAGCCGTGTGCTGGGACGATGCTGCCGGGTGGGGCGTGCGGCGCCCTGTCCCCCAGTGAGGCCGCTCACCGTCTGACGGTGCTGCACCGCTCCCAGGAGCCGGGCTGGGCCATCGAGCAGATGGCGCAGCTGCACCCGGCCCATATAGACGTCACGCCCTACCACAAACAGCTGCTCGGCCAGAAGTACGACCCGCACAAGGAGATGCAAGTCCAAACGGCCATCGATCGGTCAGTCTGACGGAGTCTGACTTGCCTCAGCTGTCGTAGCCAGACGTTCCTCGTCGTGTTGCTGTCAGGTTCTAGCCTGCCAGTGGCCTCCTGCTCTAAACGTTAGACGACTTTGTATGTGCGGACATTCAACGCGAGCCACCCACCTTCCCACGCGTTGTTTGTGAAATTATGAAAGGTGATGTCTAGACGTGGTTTGCGTGATGTTTGCCGCCGCCATATTCGCCACCGATATTGTGCTTCCTCTCTCGGTTCCTTCTCAAAGCAGATGACGCTGTTTGTGAAGTGCTGCCGGACTTTGCTCAATACGCACGCCACGGCCGGAGTCGCTGCCGCGGCGTTTGAACGCCGTTCTCTGTGCGCTGTCGGCAGCTTCTTCAGCTCGGAGAAGATCGTGCCGTCGCCGTGGAGCGCCTGCGGGCCGCGGACGGTGGCGTTGGCCAGCTGCCTGGAGAGCCCACTGACAGCCAGCGCGCCGCCGGCCGTCCGCCACTGCGGCACGCAGACGGCGCTCACCCTGCCTGCGCAGCTGCCGGCCGAGCTGGAGCGGGCGCTGGCGCCCTACCTCTGTTGCGCCGCTGCCGTAGGTCACCTCCACGCGCAGTCGTTATCCGTCAGACGCTGCTCCCAGCTCTGCCTGTGTCGCGCCGCTGCGGTGTTTCTCACCGCCCCTTGCCCCTGCCTTTGAGGTGTGGTCTTCTCTCCGTCCTCTGCTACGACGCCGCGGTAGGCTCCATCCTCACACTGTCGTCGCCCTGTAGTCACTGTCCTCTCTATATGTGCCACTCCACTGCGGTACTTGCCAACGCCTTCATCTTGTGCCATGGTGTTCTTTCCTGCCTGCGTCTCGTGGCGGCGGGCGGCGCCGGAGGTGGCCGGTGCGGTGGCGGCGTCCCCCTTGGACGGCCAGTCGCCGACGCTGCGCGACGCGCTGGCCCGTCACCTCCTGGCTGGCCCGTCCTCACCAACCGCTGGCCGCCGCCGCCGCCGCCGCCGCCGCCGCCGCCGCGCCCGACAACCCGTTCGAGTAGTCACTGTCGTCGTACCCCGTTGTAGTCACTGTCGTCTGCTCTGTATATGCCGCTCCGCTGTGGTACTTGCCAGCGCTCCCTCATATTGTGCCTATGGCGTTCACTCCTGCTTCTGCTGCGCCACCTGCGCTTCGCCCCCGCTTTCGTCACCTTCTATGCACGATTCGCATGTGCCCCTCTCCCACATCACACACCAACCAATAGCTTCTGTTGTTTATTGTGATGAACGTTAGCGGCTAGTCTGGTCTGGTTCGCGACTTTCTATCCTGGTCGCGCCGTGGCGATGTGCGCCCTTGTGTCGGCTGCGAAGTCGAGCCGCTGCTGCCCGCCGCTGTTCAGCTGATCACAGGCCGTGGAGCCCCTGAGCGCCGTCCGCCGCCGCAGGACCAGAGCCAGAGCCGCGACGACGACTCGGTGATGAGCACCTCGACGCTGCGTAGGAAGCTGCTGTTCCACAATACCAACGGTGACGAGCCGACCAGCAACGACGTGTCCATGGCGGACCCGAACGGCAGCGTCTACCACTTCCCCGGCACCCCGGACAAGGTTGGCAGTGCTGCGCGTTCTCTGTCCCCCGCTCTTATGGATCGCTCTCCCGTCGCCAGCTCCACCTGTCGTGTATGTAGCGCTCCATCGCGCCTTGATGTCAGCCATCGAGAGGTGACCGAATCGCCCTGTCGGGCAGTTCTGACAGTCATTCGGGGCGTCGTTTGGGTGTAGCGGCCAGTGCTGTCCTTCCGCATGCATGTTGTGCTGCCATTCCACGGTGCAATGCGTGTGTGTGTTCGAGAGTGTGTCGCCTGTCGGCCACGGCGCCGGGATTCGTGGGTGTGTGTTTATCGCCCGTCTGACCCTGGGAACTGCGAAGGATGAGCGTGCCGTCCTGAACCCCAGGGTCATCTGCTGCCGACGTCGCCGCCGTCTCCCGGTCGCTCGCGCACCTCCGTCCCC